GCCCATCCCCACCCCCACTCGTCACTGCCCCACTCCTGCACTGTCCCCGTCCGCACACCAGGGACCCGCAGGAGCAGCACAGGGCGTGGCAGGGCGCCCACCCGCGGCCAACGCCTGACCGGCAGCTCCACCTCCCAGAAAGGGGCAGCAGGTGCCTGGCAGGGAGCCCACTGCAGGGCACCCGCGTCGGGCGCCGGGCAGGGCACGAATCAAACTCCGAGGAAGGCAGAGCACGAGAGGCTGGGTCTCCTGGAGCAGCGGTCCCCAGCCCTTGTGGCACCAGGGGACAGTGCTCCTACGCGACTCTTAACTCAGGCTGGGTCTCCTGGAGCAGCGGTCCCCAGCCCTCGTGGCACCAGGGACAGTGCTCCTACGCGACTCTTAATGCCCGATGAGCCGAGGTGGAGCTGAGGCGGTGAAGCCGGCGCTGGGGAGCGGCTGCGAACACAGATGAAGCTCGCCCGCCGCTCACCTGCTGCCATGCGGCCCGGGCTCCTGACAGGTGACGGACCAGGGCTGGGGACCCCCGGACTCGTGACCGCTTAGCCTGACTGGGTCCTGTGGTTTCCTGTCTGCACTGACAGCACAGCAGGTTGCGCCCAGTGCCCCAGGCCGGGTGGGGGGCTCACAGGGGGTGACAGCCGGGCCAGAGCTGCTGCATGTGCTCCTGGAGGCGGGGGCTTCCCCCCTCCCTCCATGTCACACTGGGGACACCGGGAGAGCGGCCATGTCACGGGGAGCCACGCCCTCTCCCCAACCCGCTGACACACTGGGGTGGCCCCAGGCAGCGTCACCCGCCTCCGAACGCCCGAGCAGCTCGCCCACCCCATCACTCACTCCCCACAGGAGCCTGCGGCCAGCACGGCCTGTGCGTCCCTCCCCCCGCGGGCCATCGTGTCACAGGGAGAGTCCTAACGGGCATCCCGCCATGCAGAGCCCCGGAGGCGTGACCCCACGAGGGCCGTGGCCACTGTGCCAGCTTCTCCCCCATCTCCTCTGCTCCCAGGAGGGGCCAGCAGTGCCGGACAAGCGTGGTCACTGCCGGACACAGGAGATGGCAGACAGCAACTCACGGTGACGTCCCCAGCTGCCCATGCTGCCAGGCAGACCCTGTGCTTTGGGGCCGTGGTTTGGCCACGAGCCCTGGCCCACGGCCTTTCTTCTCAAGACGCACCCCAACAGTCTAGGGGGTCTGCCCCCAAAGTGTGCATCACACAGCGGGGGGATGTTCCTCTGGGAGAGGCTGTGACACGTGGGCGCCCTGAGTGAGGCTGTGGCGAGTGCGCGTGTGTGGGTGTCATGGGCACTGGGGGTCCAGCCCCCGAGCAGGGCCAGGCTAACCTGGGACTTCCGGAGGCAGATGCGTGGAAGAAATGCCCCACCCCGACTTTCTGAGACAAGTCGTGTCTTTCAAGAGCTCCCTGAGGACAAAAACTGGAAACAGAGAAGGAGACAGCAGCCATGCGTGGGGACTCTCTGGGGGCCCCGCTCCCCGCCCCAGCCGCCCCTCGCACGCCGGGAAGCGGGGACGAGCCGGGTGCAGCACAGATGGCAGCCGCGGTGGGACAATGGCCCAGGGGCCCCTCCTAGCAGCAGAGGGACCTTACAGGAAGACCCTGGAGGCCCACGGTCACTTCCGACTCCAAGACGGCCTGTCTGTCCACTGGGACGGGAATGCTATGACTGTCCCTTGTACCAGAAGTCCCAGCGGGCTGCGTGTCCACGCAGGGAGACGTTCCAGGACTGAGAAATCGGACTCTCGCCAGCTCGGGTGCCAGGAGCACTGGTGACCCCGCCCCAGCTGTCCCCAAAGCTGAACCGGGCAGCCAGAACTCTTCCAAATTAATTATGAACGCAAGACGCAGCAGCTGTTGGCTTCTCGGGCGGGACAGCAGCGGCTTCTGGAGCAGCACGTTCCACAGGCGTGCGTGAGCGGCCCCCGCTCCATGAAATTCCTCGGCCCCGCTGGGAGCGAGCCTCCGAATGCCACGGCCCTAAGATCACCGCCATCGTCAGGCACGGGCGCCCTGTGTACAGGGCATGGCCACCTCCCTGCAGAGGCGAGGCCCGGGGTGGCCCTGCTAACTGGGGCGGGAAACCAGCATCATCTCCAAAAGCCGAGGCCGGTCGCCCCGAGAGCTGGGAGGAACCCTCCCCGGGAACGCAGTGGGTGACGCCTTCAGCAGGCTGGGTGACACCTTCTCCCCTCAGACTGAGAAACTGGGGACCTGCCTGGTTGAAGACAGTCTCCCTTTCAGCGAACGACCAGCCACAACCGAGTGGGATTTATCCCAGGCCTGCAAGGCTGGTTCGGCACTCAGAAGCCAATTACCATAACCCAGCTGTCAACGGGCTAAGAACACGCACGTCGACAGATGCCGAGAAAGCACCTGACGAAGTCCCTCGCCCGCTCGTGATTACGAATCCCAGCGAAGCAGGAACGGAGCGGAATTTCCTCCACGTGATGAAGAATCTCTACAGCTGACGTCACACTTAATGGTGAGAAACCTGAAACTCACGCCCCCCTCCGCCTCCCAGCACCAGCGAACGCGAGGAGACAAGGAAGGGAAGAAACAAAACTGTCAGCATAACTGACCCCAAAATCCCACCACCACCAACACAAAACCACCGCCCGGAGCTAACGAGCCACTGCGGCAAGGCCACAGGATACCAGGTCAACACACAGAACTCAGACGCCTTCCTAAAGACCAGCGACGGGAACGCGGAATCAGAAATCGGAAACGCAACACCGTTTACCTTAGCACCCCCCAAAATTAAATCCCTAGGTGCAAAACGAAGAAAACACGTACAAGACCTAGTCGAGGAAATCTACAGAGCTCAGATGAAAAAAGTCACTGAATAAATGCAGAGCTGTTCCACGTTCACGGACACGCAGCTCGATACTGTCGAGATGTCAGCGCTTCCCAAACCGATCGACAGACTGAATGCGATCCCGGTCAAAATTTAGTGGAAATCGACAAGCTGACGCTAAAATTTACAGGGAGAGACAGAGACCCAGAACAGCCAACCCAACACGGAAGGAGAAGAACAAAGCTGGGGACCAACCCCGACTACAAGGCTGACTCTGACGTGACAGTGAGCGAGACGGCGGGCGTCGGTGACAGAACGGGCAAACGGATCCATGGGACGGAGCACAGAGCCCAGGAGCAGAGCCACATACACAGTCACTGATCTCTGACAAAGGAGCAAAGAAGGTTTTCTCTACAAACGGATGTAGGAACAACGGGACGTCCACATGCAAAAGATGGACCCGGACACAGACCTTCCGCCCTTCACAACAAGTAGCTCAAAGTGGATCACGGACCTAACTGCAAAATGCAAAACTCCCAGAAGGTAACAGAAGAAAACCTAGGTGACCTTGGGTTTGGCGATGACTTCTTAGACACAACACCCAAGGCATATCCATGAATACATACTGCTGATACGCTGGACTTCATTAGTGTAATTAAAATTAGAAATCTGTTTTGCAAAAGTCACATTATGAGAATGAGAAGACAACCCAGAGACGGGAAGAAAACATTTGCATATCGTGTATCTGATAAAAGCAGCTCTATCCAAAATACACAGAAGCTCTTAAAACTCAACAATAAGAAAACAAACCCGATTAGCAAGTGGGCCGAAGACCCTGACAGACCCCTCACTGAAGAAGACGTGCAGATGGCAAACGAGCACGTGACAAGATGCCCCACGTCCTGTGTCAGCAGGGAACTGCAGACCGAAATGAGACCCCACACACCCCCGTCGGGACGGCCGCAGTCCGGACACTGACGCCGCCACACGCCGCGAGGACGTGGAGCCACAGGACTCTCGGCGCGGCCGTGGGGGTGCTGCTGGTGCCGCCGCTGTGGGAGACAGCGCGGCGGCTTCACGCAAAGGCAAACGCACTCGGCCTACGATGCCGCAGTCACACCGCTGCTTTATACCCAAAGGAGTCGAGCACGTATGCCACACGGAACCTGCGCACGGACGTCTGTAGCAGCTTCATTCATACTCGCCCCAACCTGGAAGCAGCGGAGACGCCCTTGGCAGGTGACGGACAAAATGGTCCATGCAGACAACGGAACGTCACGTCACTCAGTGACAAAAATGAGCCACCGAGCCATAAGATGACGTCGGGGAAACGTAAATGCAGGCTAACTGGAAGAAGCCAGCGTGAGGAGGCTACGGAAGGTGTTCTTCCAACTCGGGGACACCTGGAAAAGGTGAGGAGGCCGTAACAAGGTCCGTGGCCACCAGAGGTTGGGAGAGGGAGGGCCGAGTACACGGAGCACAGAGGACGTGTAGGGCGGGGAAGGACTCGGCGATGCGACCATGGTGGACACGTCTGTCCAGACCCGCAGAGGGCACAACAGGGAGAGGGCCCCTGACGTGAACTACGGGTGACAACCGTGTGCCGAGCAGGATCACCTGTAACAAACACGCCCTCGGGCGGGTGCTGACCGGATGGGCTGGCGGGGGACGG